GTCTCTCGAGGTGTCAAGAATATTATCATAACACTTGGCGGAGATGTATGTTCCTCTCTCTTCCCATCCTTGTACCCTTCTCCTAATGTCTAGCACAGGGAGTATACTATCAAACAGAAAAGCGTCAATCGCAATCTCTACCGGGAATCTTGGTTCCCGCAAGGAAGGTCAAAGTGGTAGACACCACTGCCGCTGGAGATACGTTTGTGGGCGCTTACTCCGTCGCTGTGGCCCGATGGAAAGTTATGTCTCATGGCGCAGACTTCAATTTGGACATTGCGATTAGCCATGCTAACCGAGCTGCCTCTATGACTGTGCAGAAGAAGGGAGCACAGTCATCCATCCCATGGGTGGATGAGGTACCTGAATCATAGGATGTTATTGAAGCTAGAAGAAGCATTCCAAGGATCAGGTTAAGAAGCGGCAAAGCTTAGGATGGGAAATCCTACCATATATACTTCAATCGCCTAAATAATCTTCATTTTACTGATCAGAAGCTCTTATCTCGTTACCTTTCAGCGGACTAGGCTCGACAGCCCCTCCCCACTTGTTGCGAAATCACTCCGAGGTTGTGGATGAACTCGACCAATTGCGGTTAGCTCTCCCGGCTGACCATTTCCGTTTCTTTTCCGAATACCCCAATTAATCACACCTTTTGTTCAAACAAGCCTAAGGATCACCCACAAATCGCTAAAAGTCTTGTGGATAAAACCATACCTTATTTCCATTGGCAGTTCACTAACAGCAAGCTTGTATTCTCCACCGCCAAGACGGAGTACGGCGCAGGATGAACACATTTGACCCTGTGAACATGCTTGGAATGACGCCCTTTCCCCAATGTATGGGGTTATCGGCGCGCTTGGAATAAAATCTGGAGAAAGCATGGCGCGAAATGGATGTCTACCGGGCTAGTGATCGACCGCGGTATAAAAGATGCAGGTAAGTCGGTGTGATCTTCGCGTTGAGATCTCCCAGTCACACATAACCAACCCCCCAACAATAAGGTACCTTCCCGTCCAGTGGATACAGTTCCAAGCATGGCTTCCACGGCGAATCCTCCAGAGCCGCGATTGTCTACTTCGGAAAAAGCCGAGCACCTCGAAGCCGAAGCACTCGATGAGATCGACCTGGAAAAGGATGCAGTTCGACCTATACCAGAAGATGAGATATCCGATGAACAGAAAAGAATGGAAGCAAAAGTTGTCCGTAAAGTCGATTGGCGCCTCATCCCCATTCTTGGTCTTCTTTATTCCGTTGCCGGTCTCGACCGTGTCAATCTATCAAACGCCCGCGTTGCGGGCATGAACAAGGAACTTCGCTTCGACATCGGGGACCGGTACTCCATTGCGCTTCTTGTCTTCTTCATCACTTACTTCCTATTCGAGATGCCTACTACCCTACTTCTGCGTCCTATTGGTCCGAAGTACCTCCTAAATGGGCTCGCGATCAGTTGGGGAGCCGTCATGGTTGGAATGGGGTTTGTGCATGATTGGAGGTTGATTGTGGTGTGCAGGATGTTGATCGGTATTCTTGAAGCCGGATTTTTGCCTTGCTGTATGTTCCTTCTTTCGACGTGGTACATGAGGTTTGAGATACAGCAAAGAATGTCGTGGTGGTACCTGATCAATCTGTTTGTATCTGCTTTCGGGAACATCCTTGCGTGGGCCATTGTCAAGCTGAATGGATCTCACGGTATTGCTGGGTGGCGATGGATCTTTATGTAAGCATCTTCCTGTCCTCCTAAGCCTCGAGTAGATTGCTAACACCCTGTTAGTGTCGAAGGCGCTGCAACAATCGGCATCGCTATCATCGGATACTTCCTCGTGATTGGTTTCCCGGACACCATGCTCGCATCAGGTCGCCGTCAAGGCTTCACTACACAGGAACTCGAAGTCATTCTCGACCGAATTGATCGCGACCGTCGGGACTCAAAGCCTGACAAACTCACCTGGCCGAAATTTCTCCATCACGTTGCTAATTGGGAACTCTGGGTTTACGGCTTCATGTTTCTTACATGCTCTGCCCCCATCTACGCCTTCGCATACTTTATCCAGATCATCCTAGGAACCATCGTGGATTCTACGGCTCAAGTTTTCCTACTGTGTGCGCCACCTTATCTGTTCAGTATCTTTTGGACAGTGGGATGTGCATGGTTGGCTGATCGAACCCATCTCCGAATGCCCTGGATGGTCGGAAACGCGGCCATTACTCTGACCGGACTTCTCATCACGGCATATTCTTCCAACTCAGGAGCCCGTTACTTCGGAGTCTTCCTTGGTGTCAGTGGCTGCAATGCCAATCTTCCCACCATCATCGCGTTTCAGTCCAACAATGTGCGGTCTAACTCGCGACGCTCTGTTGCAAATGGAGTTCAATTCTTTTTTGCGGCGATTGGGGGTATTTATGCAAGCACGACGTTTATGCAGAAGGAGTACCCGAGTTACAGGACGGGTGTTTGGTGTGCGGTAGCTACGCAGTTTCTGTTGATCTTGCTCTGCGCGGGTATGTTTGTTCATTTCAGGAGGACAAATCGCGCGGCGGATGAGAAGAGGGTGGTCATCCAAGAAGAGGAAAGCTTCAGGTATACGTTCTAGGCAGAAGAGTTCACCGTGAGCGACAGACGGAGATAGTATGGCCAGTAGCGGGATGCAATGCTAGCTGCTATTGTGAAGGTACAAACATATCAATGCACACTACATTTGGACCCCAATGAGTAAGCATATCCATGTCACTACCCCTGCTCATCAACATCGTACAGCAGTTTCGCACTCCAAGTTCACACCCGATAGTCCCATTGTGAAGAAATTGCAACATTTCTGCGACTTCTTTAACGTTACTAGAGATCAATTCACGTTCTTGTACGATAGTGTCTACAAAGTAAAATATTTGTGGGACCAAGTAGTCGAACTCCAACCTCTATGTTCGTACTGGGAGATTGCATCTCTTTGTTTCACGGCCTCACGATCGTCCCAATGATCTTTTAATAAAGACCGGTGAAGACAAGCTCAACGCCAGGCTCCTTAGCTTCACGCCTGCTAGTAGCTTGAGCGTTAGATGGTACGATGTGGTACGGGCATTGAGGTCGCGCCTTCGCCGGTGTGGGGGCCAAAAGTCCCGATATCGCTCTTTGATTGGCGGTTGGAATCGATATGACTTTTCATGGTCCTGCAGACCCCCTTTTGAAATGCCTCTTCGGCTCTTGAAATACACATGACAATGTTTGTCCGTCATTTCGCTACCCTTCAGGTCGTGGCGGTGCATATTTGTAAGAAAACCCTGCACTCAAAAGGTGGTTCACTCCAGCATCCTCTTCGTATCTGCGAGTTTCAGCCTTGCCCTTGGGCTCTTTGTAGAAAGTAGCATCTAGGGTAAAAAGAATTTACGCCCGGGGCCCCCTATTCAGTGGAAGCTCTAGATCACTTTATAAGACACATAATCGTTTGCTTGCCACCATTTTCCAGACGCGTTTCAATTATTTTGATTTGCGTTCTTGGTTCCCAAAAGAATTATCTCGTTGCTTTACTTTTATACATTGATCTCGAGATGCCGTTCTACTCTGGCCATTGGTACCTTCCGGTTAACCCCCAAAAATGTGCTGCGATCAATCAAACCGTTTCTTGTCCTGTAGGCTACTACAGCCATGCGAGAAACTTGCTACCTGAGCAAAGACTTACACCCAACCTTGATATTACCGGGTCTGCTGTAGGACCCCATTATAGCTTTATCTAGCTCAAATCACTAACGCAACCGTAGATCGTCAAAACATTCATAGCTAGCACTTGTACCGCTTTAATTCTCTCCGCCTGCCTCATCATCGACAAGATAAAATACCACTTCTATCACAAACGTCGCAGCGCCAACTCGAAGGCCGAATCCCGATTCTGGATAAAAGCAGTTCATACCATCGAATCGCTATTACAAGCTATCAGTGACCAGCAAATCGTGGCCGGTGTTGCGTTGGTCCTGGCCATCAATGCCCAAGCATGCACAATCTCAGCCTACCATTACAACCTCGTCTGCAGCATGCTCTTGCTAAGTGGCATCACGCATCTCAATACTCTTATCAACATTCCCGACTTCGTATACAAAGGAAAGCTGGTCGCCGCTAACCGTCTTCTTGCTATCGCATTCCAGCTAGTGTTGTCTGGCATCATACTCTCGTCGCGAAACACGAAGTCTTTCCCATCGAAGCCCAGTGCACTAGGCGTTCTACCAGCTGCATGCTTCGAAAACATGAACGCTTTGGACAGTCTCGGTCTTCAGGACTTCGTGGACCTTGCAGCCAACGTCACTGGTGCTGCTACAAATACCACGCAAAACGCAACACAGATATGGGACAACATACAAGCCGCCACGAGCGCAAGATCTGGCCTGGGGGAATACATCACGCTCATCATATTCGCCATCTTCGCGCTGTTGTTTCTCGTCTTGGAGTTCCTCGAGGCTATGTTCTTCCCGGACACCTACCTTCACTGGCTTTCCGTCGCCCTCTCCATCACAAGTGAGATTGCCAGCGCCGTAATCTCCTTCCTTACCATCTCGCGGTACTTCAGCCTTCGAGACGGCATGGAAGTTGAGGCATGGTTCGATAATGCCGGCCAGGATAAATGGACTTATAGTCAGATTGTGCCTATGCTTTTGCTGGCCAGTGGTAGCATCACCTTGATCAAAGCCGTCACAGGTAAGTTCTTATTCAGGCATATAATCCTATGATATGCTAATGAGTAAATAGAGAGTCTTGCTGGTCACAAGGCAAGGAGATATATGGATGCTGCGCAGAATGCTGCGGATAAGGCTTCTGCTGCGAAAAATCAAGTCGATAGGGGCCAGGCGCAATATGCGAAGATGGAAGACCAGTACAAAATGACGCAACAGGACTACGAGATGGCGAATACTTCGTACGGAAATGGGGCATACAATAACTGATGAGGTAAAGAAATGCAGCTATATAGACTAGTTAGTGTAAGGATGTAGTATTCGAAAAAAGCAGATACTCTCAAGTTTGCTTAGCATAGTGGTAATTATGTAGGCTCGTTGAGCCGATGGCGCGAGTTCGATTCTCGTAGAGAGAGGTTTCTACTTTTTGTTTTTGCTGAGCTATTTGAGAATATGTTTTCAGGATTTTGAGAAGCAAGTCTTAAACAAGCGTTAATTTAAAATTGGAGGAGCCTAACATGCAAGTTATTGAAGGTGTCTTTGCTTCAGTACCTATTGGCTAATGGGGCTAACATTACTTTCTTAAATGTTAAAGTAGCAACCGTAATACATAGCATTCCTGCACTCATTAAGATTATGAGGGAAATGGTGAAGTGGAAGGAGTTTAATTACCATCGCGTGTAGGTTAGACAACTAAATTAGACTTTCCGGATATCTCTTGCAAGAAGATAAAATGGTCTTGAGGAATAGCTAATACTAACGTACGTTGATTTCACATATTTTAGACACCAAGCAGACGAATAATCCAGCATTTATTGCCACGCTTCCAATTCATCGTCTTTCGTCACATCAACTTCAATAATGATGATGACTTTTCTATGCCTCCACAGACACGGGGAACTCGCCCACGGCCACATACTCAACCCCCTCGTTTCTTTTAGCCCAGTTCTTCAGTCCATCCGCCAATCCTTGAACTAAACCTCGGTTCAGCGCAAACTCTTCAAAACTCACTCGTCGCGGCCACCAAGCTAATATCTCTTCTGCCCTAGCCCCAGAGGGTGCATCCAGTAGTCCAACGGCTACATCTACCAAGCCGCCTCTACCATCACCATCCCAGAACACGTTAGCGCCACATCTGCCACAAAACGTTCTCGTCACGTCTGCAGAGCTTCGGTACGTTTTCATGGTACCCCAGTACGGTGACCTCGAGAAAAGCTTGGTGCTGGAAGAATCCTGGGTGATGTTGGCGGTTGGAATGAAAGCCCAGAATGTCAGATCGAAGCCTGAGGATCGACAACACGAGATGCAGGCGCATGTTCCAGCTAGGAAGCGATCATGCCCAGGCAGCCACCAGCTATGATTTTTCGGATTGTCAGATGAGCCACTGTGGTACGGAACGAGGAGGTCGGCATAAGATGATTCAGCATCTTTGGAAAACTCGTTTGGGGGGCTAATGAAGAATTCGACGCCTTTGCAGTGACAGTGCGCATGTATTCGATCGATCTTATTTTTCAAACTCTCCGAACTTGAAGAAGAGGTCCATGAAAGCGGAATAACTTTGCTCTTTCCTGAATCTTGGAGAAACCGCCCCAGTTCTTTTCCATTGACATGAGTGACGAATTGACTAGCCCCTCCATCAGGCGTGTCCCCGACCCAAATATGAGCTTTGTAGTCGACAAGTTTGTCAGTATTGTTAACCTGCAAAGTCCCTGTCGCTGCTTCAAAGTGGCCGTCGTGATTGTACTCGAGGTACATCTGGGTGCCGCATGTTGAGCAGAAATGCCTTGTGAGGATCCCGGAGCTCTTATACGGCGTAAGGGCTGACAGGTCTGGCTTTGGTGCTTCAGGGCTGTGAGTAATATTTACGTAGCTAGTAAGCAAAGAGCCTGATATTCGGCGAGATATATCACAGCTACAGAGGTGAGTGGAAAGTGGAAGGGAAGAAGTGGGGATGGTGAAGCTATGTTTCGCGGCGCCACACATGCAAGATACGGAGAGCTCTTTAGAATCTAACATTATGTGAAAATGGATGAGATTGGGAGTTGAAAATAATGGTGGGCTGTAGTTGCATAGGTAGAGAAGAGTCCGGGTTGAAGTGGTGCTGAACACGAGCTATTACCCCGCTCTAGATGAATTAGATTTGTCATACAACCCGTCAATATGCTTCCATACATTCCACTTCGACGTGAATGTATTCGAAGACGTAGTAGATGCGTATGGAGAGTTACAGGTCGTCGAAACAAGACATCTTTCGGAGATGCCCTAGGGTCAACAAGGCTTAGCGCATTCATGGCTTCAACTCAGCCTCCAAGTTTCCGATCCAGAACAACATCTAGTAAGATACGTAGGGGTATAGGCAGCTAACCCCTGGTATCCTTCTTAGCAAACACAATTCCACATACCCTTCTGACGTACTGCGAGGAAAATTCCGCAATAATACCCCAATTCCAGGAAACCTACAAGACCAAAGGGACGACGACACATAAGGCAGTACGTAATGCAGGCGCTAAAATTACCATTCTACGTAGCAGTCATGCAGGATTTTGAGATCTTAAATGAATGCTGCAAGCCACAGGCGCCACAAACGCCACAAGACCAAATCGAGAAGCACCAACTCATCAATCTCAGACAACAAATGATGTCGTAGATCGTATTGATGCATAGGTACTCCTACAAATGGGAATATATAGCGACGCCAAACCCTGTTTCTGTGCGCGTGAGGTTTATACACTGGGGAACTGGGGCTAGAATATCGTATAACCGCATCCCTCCGCATCCTTGGAAACGAAGCAGTTCTTGGATTGGTCAATGCCTATCAGCCAGAATTGCTTCAAGCTAATGTGTAACAATGGCTTGCTGCTTTCAGCAGCTAGTCTCGTAAGCTTCTCAGCCCTAAGACTGTTCCTAGACGGATCAACCCAGTGCGGGCTCTTCACGTTTAGAGCCATGCAATAGCTTGTGGAGGAGGATTATGACGTACTAAATTCAAGACATCTTACTCCGTGCTTTTATTGTTCAGAAGGCAGGATATAATATAACTACTACACAATAACAATCAATCCCGGTTTCTATTTCTCTCGTTAGTCTCCAGCGGGGCCAATTGCATCTTCTTGTAAGCAACTCAGCATGCATACAGCTTTCTTTATAGCGCTTATCGTCGCCACCATCTTCCAACAAACAAGGGCAAACTGTTTTCAATGTTCGAACGATCAGCCTGTAGCTACTGCGCCGCATAAGAATATATGGCTTGCTCTTTCTTTAGAAGAATCCGAAAGCGTATCAGCTCTCCTACATGGAAAGTTCAACTTAACGGTGGATCCGGAAAGGTATCTCAGCGCACTATCTGCTGATTGAGACTTAGTATGCTAACTCTGTGCAGCAGCAGAAATACTTACATGTATATCTCAACTTCAATTCTAGCTTCATCTTCATCTTCCAAACTGATGAGTATGTAGTGCTCAGATAGAACTGCTACGACCGAATAAAACAAATTCTCTCCCTTTTATTGACCAGGCCGGAGAGCAACCGAAGAGATATGCACGGGCGACCATAGCTTTTGCGAACACCGAGGAGCCATATTATCAGGAGTACATCGTAGGACCATTACCTGCGACAAATGCCACAGCTGTAAAGCCACTTACATACCCGTTCAATAACCAAGATCCAGGGAAAACTAAAGTCAACGCATTCTATCTGCAAGGACCGGATGTGGGATTATTCATACAACGTTTTGCTCAAGACATCGAAGACATCACGAAAGAAATATGGAACACGGTAAGTCTGTTCTGGGTGCACTTGTGACTTTTCACCCTCTGACTACGCAGTAGACTTTGCTCGAGGGTGTGCTTCCACGCCTCGGCAACCCTTTTTGGAATGAAGATGGCAGGACCGTTGCATGGGCTACTTTTATAGGCCTTCCGACCTCTGGCTTCGATAGCGCGAGCATTCTTCCCCTGGGTGTTTTTGTGCGGATCGACCTGACCAGTCGTAATTTCCAGGACTGGAATGCTACTGGATGGTATTACCGAGGAACGTTCTATGAGACAACCGATGACTTTCGCAAGGCCGTCTTCGCGCCTGGGTTCGAAAAGCCTCCGCCCAATACCGATGGGCCTTGGACATCAACGGACAGAACAGGAGATCCTTTGCCCTTGGATGAGCTACCACCGCCGGTGTCGGTCTCGGAAGGCGACAAGCGATTTTCCGTTGACGTGCAGGAGAATTACGTTTCCTGGATGGACTTCTCGTTCTACATGTCGGTATCGAAAGATTCTGGGCTGTCTCTATTCGATGTCCAGTACAAGGGGAAACGAATTATATACGAGCTCGGGCTAGAGGAAGCTCTCACACACTATGCAGGATCGGATCCCGTTCAGTCCCAGACAACCTACTTTGACTCCCAAGGCGGACTCGGAGCACTGCTAGTTCCGCTCGTCAAGGGATACGATTGCCCCAGCTATGCAACCTACCTGAACGCCACATGGTCCGAAGTCGAAACACCAAAGACGCAGATCAACGCGATCTGTTTATTTGAATACGACACCGGTTACCCAATCCGCAGGCATTCTGCGCCTGCCCTCAATTACACGAGTGTAACGAAGAACATCATCTTCACGGCCCGTACGATCTCGACCGTCGGCAACTACGACTTCCTCATCTCGTACGACTTCTTTTTGGACGGAGCCATCGAAGTTTCAGTGCGAGCTTCGGGATACATTTCAGCAGCGTATTACGCCGATAACGAGGAATACGGGTTCCAGATCCACGACTCCCTTTCTGGGTCGCTACATGATCACGTGTTGACTTTCAAGGCGGACCTGGACATCCTGGGGGAGAAGAACAGCGTGCAGAAAGTTGAGTTTGTGCCGGAAACAGTCGAGTGAGGACTCTCTCCTAGCTATTCTTGCAATTCGAGGCTGACATACGATCGACAGATATCCATGGGCTATGGGCCGGCCGAAGAACACCATGAAAGCTATCAAGAGCTTCGTAGCCAGTGAATCTGATTCGAACATTAACTGGGCGCCCAACGATGCAGTTATTTACGCCATTGTAAACAAGGACACCCCAAATAAATTTGGCGAATACCCGGGCTATAGAGTCAAGCGAAGTATGTGCACCACTCACCACCTTTCACGTCAAAGAAACAATTTCTTCTTCATCGAGAATCTCTGCTGACCGAAATAGGCATCGGCACGTCCCACCTGACCATCCAAAACTCATCAAACACCGGAAACGCAGCCCACTTCGCAAAAAAAGACCTCTTCATCACGCAGCAAAAGGACACGGAGCCCCGAGCCACGGATCCCAACAACTCTCTCGACACCGAAGACCCGCTAGTCGACTTCTCCAAGTTCCTAGATGGAGAGTCCCTGGACCAGGAAGACCTGTAAGTCTTGTCCAGCCCCCCTTTGAG